AGTTGTCACTCACCAGATGGTGGTAACAGCTTTCCAAATTATAATCTGATTTTTAGTCATTGGAGCCAATAGGAAAAATTACTGATTTGAGCTTTATTCATAGAAATGAAGGCGTGCTTGCATGTATATACTCTAACGCACTTTATGACCTAAATGTTCTTTTATGCTATTGTCTTCTGCATGCAAACTTTACATACAGCAGCATGAATGTCAGCGAGGTCCACTGAACCCAGTGCCACCAGCAGAGGCTTATCAGAAATAATGCTTTCTTACAATTGTTTATAACAAGCATCAATCCTAACAAAACAGCTACCAAATTCACCAAACTACACAGCCTATCTGTTCTATCATTTTAGTATCGTAAAAGAACGTTCCTGACATGTTTGCAAGTTGTAAATAATATTCCAGTTATCATATGTATCTAAGACTTTAGAGACCAATTCTTTTCTAGAGTGAAACTATTTATTGGTTTCTGAGAAAACTAAATTCTTTGGCTTTTAAATGTGGGAAAATGTTACATAATGGTATAATCTGTTAATATAATCTTTATTTATGCCAATGACTTTTTTTAATATTTGGAAGATAATGGGAATTGGTTAGACCAGTTTGCTCTTGCAGGGATGCTGTTTATCAGCTTCTGAACATCCTTCTAACTCTATGGTCCTTACGAGTGTCTTGTTGACGGGAAGAAGTTTTGCAAAAATAAAGCACCACTGCAGTTGTGCCTACTGTCTGGAGAAAGCAAAATAGACTAGATCAATGTTTTAAAAGATTTTCTTTTCACCCAAGATAACAATTTCTTCTAATGAGTTGTTTCATAGAGAAGGCAACATTTAAGGAAGAAACTCTAAAATCAGAGCTGCTCTGGGTAAAGTCCCTTACAAGCCTTTCCCTAGGCACCTTGGTAGAGCTCAGTACAGTATTGAAAACCTTGGAGCTAGATAACTCTTCATTTCTCTTTAAGCGTTAGTCTCACTTTATTACTCCTATTACTCACTGCACTTATATGCTGACAACCATAGGTTCTCTTATGGCAGCATATCATCCTTATTATACAGAACTCAATTCATTTAAGTTATTTTGCCAAGTCATGCAATGATATCTTGACATTTCCACTCATAGTATATATATTTTTGAGTCCTAAAATTAATACTGTGGAAAATCCCTAAAAACAGTACAGCATAAGTAGATGTATTTAACTGGAAAGGGTGATAATAATAGGTACTGGAGGACCAAAATTTAGATTATAAATGGAAAGTTCTGTTATTTTATATTAGAGTGAATCAGTATTACTATTTATCATTTATATAACATTTTATATTTGCAAAGTATTTAATAATTTTTGTTATTCTTTACATATCTATGAAATAGGACAGTTATCCCACATGAAAGGTAAGGAAATTAAGACACAGAAATTAAGCAGCCTACCTAAGACAACCCAGTGAAACAGGAATTAGAATGATCCAATTTTTTGAATCCTGGAATATCAGCTTAATTCACTGAGATGTGTTGTTCATTATTTTATAAGATGACTTTATACAAGTAACAGCCAATTGTTTTAAAGCTGACATCATTGTATGTGGATAAATCCTATACAGAATAAATATTATGTAAAGTATGTGACTTTAGCTACAAGAGTTTTATTTTTAATTTATTTATTGAGATGAAGGGAGAAACACTGATTTGTTGTTCTACTTATTTATGCATTCACTGGTTGATTCTTTATGTGCCCTGGTTGGGGATTGAACCCAAAACCTTGGTTCAGCATCGGGATGCTGTTTCAACCAACTGGGGAAGGCACTTACAAGAGTTTTAATGATAAAATTCAGAATATCACAGAAATGATACTGTTTAGTCAGCTTCTTTATATCTTGTGTGAAATTATAATTAATATCTTCTTTTGATACAGGAGTTTAACTATTCATACAAATGAAGCCACAAATATACTAAGAAAAACGGAAAACTTCATTCTCTAACATGTCAGTCTTTTCCCTACAGAACTTGTATTAATGCCAACAAAAAGTCAAATATGTTAAGCAATAAACCACACACAAAAGCAAGGGAAAGTTCAAAGAAGGTACATAAATAACCAGAAGCCTGTTCCTTTTCTGTTTAAGGTGCTTGCTACTTAAAAGTTGTGCTACATGTACTCACTAAGAAACCTTCTGCAGCAATGTATCCATAAATTTAAAATTCTAAGTACTACACAGAAACAGGGGATCCAGTATAGTAGGGATGAAGCAAGTGGCATAGGTCCAAATAGCTTCCAAGAAGTGAGTTTCCAGTTATGTTGAAAAAGGACAAGATCGTCAGGTGAGAATCTGGGTAAAGACAGAAGACTAGTTAGTGGCTGCCCCCTAGAGTTTGGAGGGATGGGAGAGATGACTGCTTAATAGTGGGTTTCTTTTTAGAAGAAAAAATGTTCTAAAATTGATTGTGGTGATGGTTGTATAACCAAGAATACTAAAATCCACCAAATTGTACTTTAAATGGGATAATTATATGGTATGTGAATTATATCAATAAAGTTACAAAAACAAGAGAAAATCTGGGCAAAAATTCAAAAGTAGGAACTGATGAGTTACATGGTCTTTGCTGGTGCATGTGGGTGGGCTGCACTGGTAGAGAGATCAGGAGAGGTCATGGGGACAATGATAAAGCCAGAAACAAAGCTGCCCGATAATTTGTTCATATTTCTTCTCAATCTGATACAGCCCTTGAATGTTTCACACCATGGGTTACACAGAGTCAGTTAGGGACAAATGGAAGGGCAATTGGTTTGGCGTAAGGGGATGGGCAGAGCTTTTGAAAATATATGCTCAACTTGGATGTTAGAAAGAAAACTTGATTAACACAGGAGACTTGGAGTAGAGAAGCAGGAGAGGAAGTGGCTGTTTGCCCATCTAAATAAAGGGAGACCAGAATGGCACTGGCTACCAGGGTTGTCTCTAGGATGGCCACACCCCCTAACCAAGCACTGTGGGCTTTTTAAAATTAAGGAGAAAAAGGGGCTGTTAGCATTTATGCTTGCCTCAATAACAGTAATGAATACTAGCCCGAGTTTACTGAGCATTAACACATAGTCAGGCACTGTCACAAGAGCTTTATGTGTATACATTTATTTAATCCTCTCAACAACCCCGCAAGTACTATCATCACTACTTAAAATGAGGAAATTAAGGAAGAGATTAAGCAACATGCCCAAAGTGGAGTTATTAAGTGGTAGAACCAGGACTTGAACCCATGATCTGGCTCGTTTGTGCAATTAATCACTACAACCCTAAAATAAAAATATTAGCACAGTAGTGTTTAAATTCCACAGTTCCAAGTATCAGTCCAAGATGACTCCCTTCCTCTTCATTTACAAAAGGATTCTTAACTATCCTAGGAAAGCTGGGGTACTTGTATGCCAACTATAATTTGATGAAATATCAATTTTAAAAAATGTATCTGAAAAAAAAGTATGTGGTGAAGGGGGGAACCTAACTTCATATGTAAAGGGTAACATATTCATTTTCCTTCTATGTAGTATCTTCATTTTGGCATATTTTAAAACTAACAAATTTTTAAAATAGTAATAGATTATATATTTTTTATAAACGAAAAGAAATAGAATTTATATTGCATAATTACATCTGACTTTTTACTGAATCCCATTATCTAGCACTGGTGCAAAGAGAAATGGCTATGCTTTTTCTCCTAGTCAAGTTTGCAGCCTACTTGGCTTGATATATCCCAAGAGGCCTTGCTCTAGATGTGGCTCTTCCACTGCCCTCATGGTATCCCCTTATTCATTTTCACAGTCAACCCAAGTAGCCCAGGATGTGCAAAGGGGTCCATGAAAAAAAGAGCCCCATCTCAGTCTGGAACCTCATTCTAACAAAGGTAAAGAGATTCCAGACATTTTTTTTGCTTGGAGGCCCATAATCCAAATTTGAAAAATGTGTTTAAAGAAGGTTAAGAAGCATTACCCCAGTGATCCTGCTACATATTAAATTGAAGAGCTACAGGCTCTTTGCTTAGCCTTCCAATACCCAGGGAAAATAATGCAGTGCTCAGAGAGAACACTTAGAAAACTCACAATCTCTTCCTCTTAGGTCAGTGGTTCTCAACCTTCCTAATGCCGCGACCCTTTAATACAGTTCCTCATGTTGTAACCATAAAATTATTTTCGTGGCTACTTCATAACTGTAATTTTGCTACTGTTATGAATCGTAATGTAAATATCTGGTATGCAGGATGTATTTTCATTGTTACAAATTGAACATAATTAAAGCATAGTGATTAATCACAAAAACAATATGTAATTATATATGTGTTTTCCGATGGTCTTAGGCGACCACCGTGAAAGGGCTGTTCGACCCCAAAAGGGGTCGCGACCCACAGGTTGAGAACCGCTGCCTTAGGTCACGTTCAACCTACTATAATGATATATGGCACCACCCAGATATCTTTTCTCATCTAAGTGCGAATAAATAGCAACTTTGCAAACTCTTGTATCACAGGAAAGAATACTCAATGAAGAAAACAGAATAATGTTGCAAATCAAACTAAAGCAGTTCCATTTTTTAGAAATTATCTACTTTGAGTTCAGATTTTATTTTACATTTTAAATATAGTTTTATTGATTTCAGAGGAAGAGGTAGATAGAAACATCAATGATGAGAGAGAATCATTGATTGGCTGCCTCCTGCACGCCCACTACTGGGGATTTAGCGGGCAACTAGGGCATGTGCCCTGACTGGTATCGAACTGTGTCCTGGTTCATAGGCTGATGCTCAACCACTGAGCCATCTTGGCTGGACAAAAGTTCAGACAATTTTAAAGTTTTCCTGGCCTCCTGTCTTCTCAGAAATGAAGAGCTTAAATAATTTTTAAAAACCAAAAAATTAAAAAAAAAATTCTCGGAACCGAGGTGCCCTGCAAGGGGGCGGGACGCGAAGGGCAGGGCTCCTAAAAAAAAAAAAAAAAGAAAGAAAAAAAATTCTCCCATTCTTCTCTAACTGTATAAGTATACTGGCTTTAATATAAAATTACATGATAGAAGGGCCCATTTTTAAGGGCATTAAATTTTTCTTGTGGAAAAACAAGAACGTGTCAGTATATCAGTGTTTAAAAAAAAGTGAGATAGAAAATCAGGCTCTTTCTAGAGAAGTCTCCCAATTATTCAATTATAATTATTTCTTCTAAGATAACCAACTAGAATACAGGATGGCTCTGTCCTACAGCAATCTAAAATACAACCTCTTAATATTCATATAGAAAATATATGTCTTAACCAATTTGGAGGGAAAGCAAAATCTTGATTGTAAAATTTCTCAAATTATCATTTTTTCTCCCAAATTGGATTCAATAAGAGTGTGGAGGCTTCAGAGTCTCTCTGGCTGATGTTTACACCAATGATCCCTTTTGGGACCAGGCTGGAGGGCTGGCATTCCATTGGAAGGATGTGAGGCACCTGTTGCGACAGCAAGGAATTAATAAATAAGGAATCATACTTGCCACCTGAAGAATTCTTTAACATTTGAATAGTTAGTACAGACCAAGACGATGCCTTGATTTTCCATTTGTGGGAAAGTCATACTTTAAGTCAAAAATTCCTGTTCTGCAAACCCAAACCATCATATTGTCAGAGACTGTAGAATTTATATTATGGTATCTTCTCAAAAGGATGAGAAAAAAACAGTTCTTCATAGGAGTTTTTTTCTTGATCTTAAATGTCAATGATCACAAACACTTCTGGCTTCTCTTCAGTATAGACCTGCATGGCTGAGTATGTTATTGCCTTGACTTCAGTTCCCTAAAGTTGGGATTAGAGAAAAGACAAATAAGAAACAAAGGACAATGGACTCAGAATCATTAATTCTAACAATAATTGACAGAAAGTCAAAATTTTATTATGGAAAAGTAAAAACAATAATTATCAAATTGGTTTAATAGTATACATTGATCCAATAAAAAGAACAGTACACAGTAGATAGAGCACTGAACTGGAGTTAGGAGATGCAACTCTAATCCTGGCTTTGTTTCCACCTGGATATGGAAGCTATCTGACCTCTGGGCATCAGCTTTTTTTACTTATCAAATTAGTTGAATCAAACAACACAAAGTCTTCCTATTGTTTGCTCAGGGCTCCTCAAAACTCCTCCTTGCAGTCTAACCTGGGCCCTAGGAACTTGGCCTATTCTCTTCTCAGCTGCCAATAATCACTCTACATCGTAGGGTCCTTCTCTCTCCACATGTTTCTGATATATGACAACACTCTGCCCCAGTTAGAGCCACAGGATTTGATATTCTCTTAGTTCCTTCTACAATAAGTCTTTAAAAAAAAGTGGAATATTTTGGAACATTTTTTATTTATTGATTTTTGAGAGAGAAACATCAATGGTTGTTTCACTCATTTATGCATTAATTGGTTGATAGTTTTATGTGCCCTGACCAGGGACTGAACCCAAAATTGAGCTACCCGGCCAGGGCCCTCTACAATAATTCTAAATGTATCAGAGAATAGGGAACTGGCATTTGCTAGCTCTATGGCACCAAAGAAATTTGAATATTTCAATGGATTTGAGTGGCACCCGAACCTCTTTCCCCGCCCACTCTGCCATAATCCCCTCAGGAAACAACAACCTCAATCAAACTCAACTTTCTGCCTGTGGAAGCATCCACCATGCTGAATGGTTTTAAAGTCTGTTCACAATTCTCAAAAGGCCACTTGGCACTGACCAGTAATCCTACATTTACCACTAAATTCACTTTCTCACTCTGAGGCAACTGAAATTTCACATTTTAACCTCTAGCCTCCCTCCTTCATTCTCATTCTCTCTTAACTATGCTTTCTAGAGAACACAAGAGCAATCAATAAGAACTGACTCATCTTCCCCACATCAAATCTACCATTCAACTCTATCTGTACTCCCACCAGCCTTTCCTCCTGTAATAATGGCCAATCCCTGCTCTTATTAGAAGGCCAACTTCTCTTCAATACTCTATCCCACACTCCCCCACTCCCCGCCCTTACCAACTTAAGGTCTTTGCTCTAAAATCATTCTCTCTCTCTCCAGCATGATCAATTTTCCTCAATATACTAGATCATTTCCAATGTTCTCTGCCCACAAAGCTTAAAACATCTGGCCCTTTACAGGAAAATTTCGCCTGCTCTATTCCAATAGACTTAACTAATACAGAGTGAAGCCACACAGGTTGGCAAATACAGAATCTAGAGAAGCAGAGGTAGAAAGTCCTTTAGAGAACATCTAGGCCAAAACCTTTACAGAGGAAGAAATCAAAGCTTGAAAAGGCAAAGGGACTTACTTTTTTTTTGGTTAATTTGTTAATTCTCTCTAAATCAATTCTACTGATTTTTAGAGGGAGTGCAAGCGGGGTAGAAGGAGAGAGAAAAACAACAATGTGAGAAAGACACATCAATTGGTTGCCTCCTGATGTGCCTCAACCAGGGCTGGGGGTCAAACCTGCAACCCAGGTTATGTGCACTCGACTGGGAATGGAACCTGTGGTCCTTCAGTGCACAGGCAAATGCTCTAACCACTGAGCACACTGACCAGGGTGGGACTTAAAACTTTTAAGTCCCACAATAATCAATAACAAACCTGCCCCTAGAACCTAAGTGCTCACTCTTTTTTTTTTTTTCGGTTAATCCTCACCTGAAGATATTTTTTCCATTGATTTTTAAAGAGTGGAAGGGAGCAAGGGAGGGAAGGAGGAGGAGGAGGAGGAGGAGGAGGAGGAGGAAGAAGGAAGAGAGAAACATTGACATGAGACATATAGCAATTGGTTGCCTCCCGCACGCCCGACTGGGGCTGCGGGATCAAACCTGAAACTCAGGCATGTGCCCTTGACCAGGAATTGAACTCCAGACCCTTTGGTATGGGCCAACACTCTAACCACTAAACATCACTGGCCAGGGCACAAGTGCTAACCCTTAACCCATCAAATTAGATGTGTGAAATCAGTGTTTTAACATAATATGTCCAGATAGGTCAAAGACAGCTGAGAAAAACTTACCACTTTACACCAATTTATTAGAATTCATTGTAGTTTACTATTACATAACACCAAATTTTATGGTAAGAAAGTATAAAATGTTTTAGTGGCTGGATTAAAAACATACCTGAGGATGCTTGGACAATGAGAATTCTTCCCCCCACCTTGAAAAGGAAAATTAAAACATGATTAAAATTACCCAAACTTAATATTTGTTCTCTCTTTACATATTTTAAAATAATCCTTACAAATATAGTTAAGATACTAGAAAGCCAAGAGATGGAAGGAGTATAAATTTCAGTTTGGTTGCTAACAGATACAGCTACTGAGGAACTTATGTGCAACAGCCATTTCAACAAAGTCGATAGTTAAACTAAAAAAAAGTGCCCTGGTATAGTGTACATAGGTAGACTCTCAACAAACACTCTGTAGTTAATCCAAAATTTTCACTGTACTCAAGGCTAAAAACTAATGAAATGTCATCCCCCCCTTGGGAAAGCAAAATAAAGATAACATATTCTATAAGACAGTCTGAATTTGGTTTGCATTTTGTAATTTAAAAAAAAAAAATCCATGGTCTGTAGATAGAAGGTCCTACAAAGGTACTTTCCTAGAACTTGACTAGAAGTATTCTCTCTCCCTTCCACACTAATGTGGCTGAAGATCCCAGTAACAGAAGCAGCAATAGTAATAGAAAGAGTTGTTTTAAAACTCTGTTCAACCACTTATTAGCTAATTACCCTGGACAAGTCGATTTCCTCACCCTAAAAAAAGAGGTATTAAGTCCAGCTGGTGTGGCTCAGTGGTTGAGCATTAACCCATGAACCAAGAGGCCATTGGTTCAATTCCCAGTCAGGGCACATGCCCGGGTTGCAGGGTAGATCCCCAAAAAGGGGTGTGCAGGAGGCAGCTGACTGATGTTACTCTCTCATCGATGTTTCTATCCCTCTATCCCTCTCCCTCTCTCTCTAAAATCAGTAAAAACATATTTTAAAAAAGAGGAGTTAATAAAAGACTTCACTTTACAAAAAGAAACATAAAAATAAAATTCAACATGAAATGGAACAGATTGGCTTTATATAAAAAAAGATATCGAGTGACTGAAGAAACTTGGGAAACACCAAGGCAATTAAAGTGACCTAATCAAGAGTTCACAAAATCTGGAGGAAAATAATTTTATAAAAGAAACTGGTTTGAATGGAGTACAGGTGTGAGGATCTGAGAAAAGACAAATCAGTTTCCCATCACCAAGCTAGGCTTTACGCAATTATCTGTGCCAACTAGCAATTATATACTTTTTATGCTAAAAATCAACAAATTGGCCTGGCCAGTGTGGCTCAGTGATTGTCAACCCATGAACCAGGTTCGGTTCCTGGTCAGGGCATATGCCCGGGTTGCAGGCTCGATCCTCACCCACTAGGGGGTTGTGCAGGAGGCAGCCGATCAATGACTCTCTGTCATCCTTGATGTTTCTATCCCTCTCTCCCTCTCCATTTCTCTCTCTGAAATCAATTTAAAAAAATAATAAAATAATTATAAAATAAAGGCCATGTGCAGGGGATTAAAGTTTTTTAAAAAATCAACAAATTGGGCCCAGCCAAAGTGCTCAGGTGGTTACTCAGTCAGGGCACAGACCTGGTTTGGGGGTTTGATCCCTGGTTGATCCCTGGTTGGGGAGCATACAGAAGGCGATGGATGTTTCTCTCTCACGTTGCTGTTTCTCTCTCTCTCCCTCCTCCCCTACCTCTCTCTAAGCATGTCCTTGGGTGAGGATTAAAAAAAAAAAAATCAACAAACTGGGAATCAGGCTTAACAACTCAAATCAAGTTTGTTCTGACAAGTTTCGGCCTCCAAAGTTCTCCCTCCTAAGTCTCTAACAAAGCTTAACTAATTGAAAAGCCTGTACCTACTGGGATGCAATTGGTCCTCTGACTTTTCTATCTTCCTGTCTGTTAAGTTCAGTGAAGAATATAACTTAACATCTTTCATGACCTGCTAGTTAAATTTTCAAACTTACCCAATTGACCGTAATTTGAAATTTACTTGATCAAGACTAAGTACTTTTACTTCCTAAAGAGAAAAAAAAATTATTTTAATGTTTTAAAATGATCATTACAGACCATCTGCCAAACACACTTCTAGGTTATCTCCTCTTCTAGATAAAATAGCATACAACTTCTATGATGCAAAGAAAATGAAAACGTTAACTAATATAGAATGATAAACTAAATATATTTCACAGAGATAATGTTTTATTCTTACATATTCAAGGGAGGCATTCTTGAAAATGTACAATCTAAAAACTTGAGTCAAAAGAATTCTTCTGTAAGATAGAGGATGACATAAGATTTCAATCACTCTCAGTCTATTTTTTTCAACTTTATTGAGGTATAATTGAAGTACTCTTAGCCTATTTTTATGTAATATTCTAGGCATCTGAACTCTGTAAAACGAATGACCCAGTTGGAAGGGTATATAGAGTGAAACTGGTAAGGGAGAGAATGAAGGGATTATGGAAGCAAGGGAGGGGCCATGTGCACTAGATAACAACGATGCTGGAGAGCTATTTCCTTCTAGAGATTCATGGCTACAAGCAATTTCAATCTGGCCTTTCCTTTTTCAAATTAAGGAAAACTAAAAGCACCAATTTTTAAACTTAAGCCAACATGGCAGAGCTACTAAATTTCAAATGGGGCAAAAAGAACATATAAATGGACATAAATATAGCTCAAACTTGGGAAACATAAAAAGTGTCAATGAAGATAGTAGGTACATTCTTATTACACAATCCTGATTAGTGACATATATAGTAAGAGATCAGCCCAGCTGGTGTGACTCAGTGGTTGAGCATCGACCCATGAACCAAGAGGTCACTGGTTCAATTCCTAGTCAGGGCACATGCTTGCACTGTGGGTGTGATCCCCAGTAGGGGTTGTGTAGGAGGCAGCCAATCGATGTTTTCTACCTCTCTCTCCCTTTCTCTCTCTCTCAAAAATCAATAAAAACATTTATAAATAAATAAATATAAATGGCATATACATAGGCAAACTCAGGTAAACCAAGAAGAGCTTATGGCCATTATAATCTCTGCAAATCAATATCATCAATACATATCTGTATGGCATGGTTTTACATCACATGTCCTACTTTAAATCACTTGTTCCATTTTAAAATATGAACTAAGAACCCATTTGCTCAGTTAAAAATGAAAACTCCTTGCTTACCCGAGGTATGAAGAACTCCTCAGCACTGAACTTATAAAGCCACTCATCCAAAAAGTGAAACAGAAGAGACTGCAAATCATCTCCTACACAGAATCAAAGAGAAACATAAGAATATGATGCTTAATAATTCTCATCTCCAATAACTTGTTCAAATTTATTTTTTAGGCAAATTGAGAGAGGAAGAACAGGCTCATAATCAATTTGTTGTTCTTAGTGTGAAAATATTCTGAAATTATGTAGAATACTGCACACTTGTACAACAATTTCTTCCTTGTAAATAAACTGGTTACCTTGTGTTTCTACTTCTATTGCTTGGAGGGGCTCCACCGTGTCAGTATCTGTCATGTAACCAAACATGGCCATTGCACATTGCTCGAAAGCTTCCTCCAGAGTATCTCCCCATGCATGTAACCTAAAGAAATACATTCATGCCCTGAGTAATATAATCCACTGCAAGAAAGAAAACCTGACAGCAAAGTCAAAATAAAATCAATATGAATAATACAAAACCAAAGGCCTCAAATCAACTTAATAGCACTGAAACTGGATGCTAGTAAACCACCATTTTCACTTTCAAAAGAAACCAAGAGAAAAATTAAAACTGGGGACAAGATGAAAACATCAGCCTTCTTGTCCTGGCCGGTTGTATGGTGGTTAGAGCCTCGAGCATCAACCTGCAGACTGAAAGGTCTCGGGGTCAAGGGCATGTACCTAGGTTGCAGATTCTCCAGCCCCAGTAAGGGCACTTGCTGCAGGCAACCAAACCAATCAATGTGTCTCCCTCATGCTAATGTTCCCCTCCCTCCCTCCCACTTTCTCTAGAAATCAATAGTAAAATATCCGTGGGTGAGGATTAAAAACAAAACATCAGCTTTCTTATTTAAGCACATGGTTTCAAAAGCATAAACTCCAGCTATACTCACTGGACATCTGCTGTATGATCCAAATCTGAGGAAGAGAATGAAAAACACTTGTAAGTAACTAAACTTTACCTGCTAATCACAAGAAAAGAACTCTAATTCATTATTAAGAACATCAACCTTGAAGAGAGAGAAAATGTGGGCAGATCACACCTTTTGCTATCCATTTACACAAAAGTTAATTGCTTTAATAAGGGTTATTTTTAAAATTTCTTCTAAGCATTTACAGTTGTTATTCTGTTAATATGAATTAAATAAATAGCTAAAGAACTAATAGCTAGCTCCCACTGGATCTGTTGTCTCAACATTTCAGCCTATTCTTCATTCATATTATGACTTCCATCAATTCTTCCCACTTAGGATCACAAATATTTGGGGTAGAAGAAGTCTTAGAGATCATTTAATATATAATTCCTTCACTACAAGAAGACCCCCAAAATCTAGAAATTGTGTGACTTTTTCAGTACTACACTGTTGATTAGAGGTAGAGTTGGGACTAGAATTGAGGTTTTCTGACTTCTAATTTAGTGCTGCTTAAACCATAATACCATCTTCCAGTGGCACTCAAGGTTCAAACTCATCTCTAATTCACTCAGAAACATTACTGAGGACTTAATATGTTTCAGGCACCAAGCAGCTCTTGACCAGCAGTGACAGGTTAAAAGAAAATGACTAGTATTAACCCTAGAGAAGTGAAGCATATATTCACAAAACAACATGAGAATATTCACAGCAATTTTATTCCCCCAAATTAAAAACCCAATGTCTGTCAAGAGAACAAATAAAACAGAGGAATACAATGCAGTCCTACTCAGCAATAAAAAAGTGTGGCCCTAGTCAGTTTGGCTCAGTGGATAGTGTTGGCCCTCGGACTGAAGGGTCCTGGGTTCTATTCCAGTCAAGGGCATGTACCTTGGTTGCAGCTTTCCCGGGCCCTGGACGGATGAGTGCAGGAGGCAACCAGTCAATGTGTCTCTCACATCAATGTTTCTCCCTGTCTCCCTCTCCCGTCAAATCAATGGGAAAATATCCTCGGGTGAGGATTAAAAACAACAAAAATGTGAACTACTAAAACTGTATTAACAGGAACCTCAAAAATGTTAAGTAAAAACTGCAGAACTCTCAGCACCTAACAACTCCATCTACACTCTGCACTAAGAGACCTGGCCAAACTTGAGTATGGCTTCTACCAGCATAAAGTCACCCAACTTCCTAGAATAATACACTTCACCTCTATCCATAACCCCCATTGCAATGTCTGCTTGAGAAAGTGAAAGACAGTCTGAAGAATTTACTGTTTGTTCTAGCCAACACCTGACCATAGGCCCTTGAACTCTGTTGCTTAGAGCATTTACTAAAATGAGCTTACGTTATGAATATTTATCTCGTACAGCTCAGAAGTGTCTTTTTCAAGGACTCCAGAGTCATTCCTTTAAAATGTAATCACCAAGAAGGACTCTGTCTCTGTGGGAGGATAGAATCCTACCTTTGACAACTGCTAGCAAGCAAACACTGCTGGCCTAATCGAATTTACACTGACCCAACCTTTTGTAATTTTTCACTTCTCAGTCTCTACTCAGCTCTCCCCTCTTCCTCCTTCTTCATTCTCCCTTTAAAAGGCCCAATTAGCTCTGCACAACTCAGAATGGAGCTCAGCTCTTTCTCCTACTGCCAGTAGCTACTAAATAATATCCATTCATCACTTTAACGTCTGGCTTTGTTTATCTTTAATACTGAGTGAATAAGCCAGACATAAAGAATCTATACTGAGATTCCACTTATATGAGACACTAAAACAGGCAATATTAAGCTACGACAACAGATATCAGAACAGTGGAAGGGCCTAGGGCACTCACTGGAAAGAAGCAAAAGGGAACTTTCTAGAGTGATGGAAATGTTCTAGAACTTGATTGGGGTGTTGGTTACACAGTGTATCTGAGTATCAAAACTCAATGGGCTTTATTTTACACTTAAGATCTCAGCATTTTGCCGAAACCGGTTTGGCTCAGTGGATAGAGCGTCGGCCTGTGGACTGAAAGGTCCCAGGTTCGATTCCGGTCAGGGGCATGTACCTGGGTTGTGGGCACATCCCCAGTAGGAGGTGTGCAGGAGGCAGCTGATCGATGTTTCTCTCTCATCTATGTTTCTAACTCTCTATCTCTCTCCCTTCCTCTCTGTAAAAAAATCAATAAAACATATTTAAAAAAAAAAAAAGATCTCAGCATTTTTACTATATGTAAAGTATACCTCAATTTAAAAAAGTTTTGTAAACAGATAGATTGCTATAGGGCAGTGTTTCTCAAATTTTTTGGTCTCAGGACCCTTTACTCTCTTAAAAATTATTGAGGACCCCAAAAAGCTTTTGTTTATGAGTTGTACCTGGCAATATTAACCACACTAGAAATTTTAACTGAAGAAAAATTTTAAATACTTATTAATTTAAAAATAACAGTAAGCAGACAGATTTGGAAGCTGAGAGCAGAGTGAAGGTCACTCTGTGGAGCAGACAGGTGACGTTCGGGAACGTGGCCACAGAATTCACTAAGAAGTAGTGAGAATGCCTGCACCAGCTCAGAGGGACTTGCACAGGTATGTGATGTTGGAAAATCACATCCCTGCTCTCCCTGGATGAGGAGCTCCTAGGCACAGAGTCCAAGAACCATTCCAACTCACATCCCCCTAAGTGGCATTATCAGAAACAGAAACTGTTTTCTAGCTGCAAAGACAAGCCTCTTAACCATGATGCTATATGAAGAAAGGTATTCAGTTTCATACTTAAGTCCTCAACATCTGTACTTATTGTTGCTGATGTCCTTTGCCATTTTAAATGGTTTTATCCTCATAAATAATTGTGACTGTGGCAATTTATAATTATGTCTATAAATTTACTTTATATGCCAATATTACCTATGACTAAATACTTAAGAGATGCAAATAAGATGAAAATGCACTGACTACCATACAAAATGTAAGAAAGATTATCCAAGACTAAGTGTTGCATTTATAGGGGCCAGAATGGCTCAATATTCTGATGATCACAGAAGATGCATTTGTCCTCACCCCAGGAACAAGTGTACAATAGTAGTAACCACTGAAATCTTTGTACCATAATATGGTGGACTAATCTATGAGTTTTGAATTATATATAAGAGATAAAACACTGTAAGCTAGAGGCTAAATTATTGATTATCCTATATAATAAAAGGCTAATATTCAAATTGTCCCCTCGACTGGGAGTTCAACCAGGGGGGAGGGGGGGCGGCTGGCCCAAGGCCCCTCCCCCTGGCCGCCCCTCCATCGCCCCCCCCACCTCGATGCGGGGTAGAGCCGAGGCCCCTTCCCCCTTACCCTTCTGCCAGCCTGGCCCAATCCACCTGGGATGGGCTGGCCAGATCCCACCCAGGCCTCTAGTATATGATATAGTTGATTAACAATGAAGGATTACATGACAAAAAAATAAAAAACAGGTGTATTCTATTTAACATTAATGGCATATTTTATGAAAAATAAAACTATGTTTTCAAAATACTTAGTGAGAAAAGTATCACTATTTTGCATTTTTGCAAATATTTTTAATGACTGACTTTCAATGTATTGATTTAGGTGGAGAACACAAAATCCAGCCTCACAAATATGCAGGAATAAAGGAAGGAATATTTAATAGCTTTTCAAAAAACTCTATGTAGTCTTCCTTGAAGTTACATCAAAACTAGAAAAGGCCCAGCCTGTGTTGCTCAGTGGTTGAGCCTCCACCCATGAATCAGGAGGTCACAGTTCAATTGTGGGTCAGGGCAGGTGCCTGGGTTGTGGGATACCCTGAAGGGGGTGTGCAGGAGGAAGCCCACTGTTGATTCTCACCTTGATGTTTCTATCTCTCCCTTCTTCTCCTTTCCTCTCTCTGAAATCAATAAAAAAATATTAAAAAATAAACTAGAAACGTGGTAGTTTTTTAAAGGTTGGTTTACAGTATCAAATCTGAGGCTATAACAATGAACTCTTACTCTATCTTAAACTGTCACGATCATGATGGCAGATACAAGTTTTCCAAAATTTTAATTTCACTTGAAAGCTTGAATTTTACCATTGCCAAGAAACACTGTAATTTTCCTTGATGGAATGAATCACTTTTTATTTTCAAGAAGACATCTGCCCAAATACTCATGTCTGAATAACAATGGTATTGATGGGGAAAATAAGACATTTTGGGGGAGCTAGCAACCTGAATCTGTGCCAGTAACCTAATGTACATTCTTGACAGTCTATACTGAAGTCACTGCTCCTTTCTCCACAATCTGGTCTAGCAAGACCTGTTTTCCTACTTACTCCCAATGTACAAAGAGGCCATAGACAGAGACTGTAACAGCTTAGCTACAGGGGAGGTCACCCACAACATCTAACTCCCCCATTTTGACTGACTCAGGAGGGGCTGTGCGAGCCCACCACAAAATTCTGGCGGTTAGGAAACAGATAGAAAACAAAGAAACCGAAGGGCATAAAGAGGAAGCTCCTCCACATTGGCTTACTCGGGGTTTGGAGGACTGACCCCGAGTCACTGTCCTAGTACATGTGAGACATCTGAGAACACACGGGCTTATCCCGGACCCCCAAGTACTCCTGTGTGTTTTTCGGTCGCCAGGTAAATTCTGTAGCAGTATGTCTTTCAGTCACACTCTTTTGAGAAAAAATGTTGTTCTGTGAAAAAAAAAAAGGTTCTCTAACCTGGCCACCCTCTACCCCACTGTTGGGAGATACACGGGGGCGACACATCCACGCAAACGCTCGAAACTACGGTTATCTTTAGAATACACTAGAATCCCACAAGACAAATGTGATGAGGCATATGCAGAAGAAGTTCAGGAGACTGTAAAAGTGGGAGCCCGGGTTCCCCGACTCTCAGACTCCCCGAACAAGTACAAATGAGACTACAACAGGCGACCTAGGATCGCGCCTGAAGCGGAAGCGGTAAGCGAGCCAGAAGGCAGGCGAGCAGGTGAAAGAAGGAGCCTCATACTCACACTCGTACTTCCGATTGACTGGAGGATACTTGGCCTTGGTGGCCTTCTGCTTCGCATTCAAATTGTAGTCCCGAATATCTTCCTCTTCCTGCGCCATGACTGCAGCCTCGGACATTCCACTTCCGCCTTTCATCAGCAGGACTTCGGTCCTGATTTATAACTTCCGCTCTAGACTCCGCCCCGTTGGCACGCACCCTTAAAGCGCCAGGACTTCTCAGGGACTTGTTTTATCCTAAGGCTTCCGATTTAGGCCTCGTCCTTCGGAGCACATCTTTTAAAAAGTCAAGGCCCGTTTTCTGGGCTTGCGCCATCCATGGTTCTAAGGACTAAGGAAACAACTAAAGTGGAGGACCTGCGGAGCAAGCGACACTTGAATTAGACACTTCTAGGTCTCAGTGATAGAAGCCTTTTATTGCTACCGCGGTTGATAACTACTAGACCGGAAAGAACCCGAGGTTTCTCATCTGAGTACTTTGAAGGGGTCGTTAGCTTAACAGCCTTTAAGAAAATGGCTGCCCCCGGGAGAGTGCGGACTGAACCGCTCACGTGACCCTGACGGGCGGGAGGGGGGGAGGGGAGCGCACTCCCACCAGCCCTGCGCGCGCGCAATCGAAGGAAGTCGGCTCCGGGCTGGGAGGGGGGAGGGTAGGAGCGGAGCGCGCGCCTCCGCTCCGTGGAGAGCGACTCCGCGCGTCTGGATAGGCTGCGAGCGCGATTGCCCGCCCACCTGGCCGCTCGGTGCGCTCCGATTGGTCGGTGTTGGCGCGAAGGTCCGCGAAGCAGCCCTCACGCAGGGACAGCAGGAAACAATAGAGGCCGCGCGCGGAGAGCGAGCGTTCCGTAGCTTCCCCGCCCCTCCCGCAAAACGGTAGACCTCGGGATCCCCCTGGCTTTCCTGCACACCATGGCCGACAAGGAAGGTGAGGGTGCCGGAGTCACCCTAGGAGGCGGAGGGGTGCCGGACTTGCGTTGCGGCCTTTACTCGGCCTAACAGTGAGAGCAGGCCCGACTCTGCTGAGTGCGGTCCACACCATCGCAGGCGTGAGGCGAACTAGCCCCGCGAGGCGGGCTAACGGCGCGCAGCTGGCGGTGGGGCCCCGGCGGGTGTTTGGTCCCTCCTTGCGCTTCCTGTCGGTCTACACGCCTCTCTCCGGGTCTGCCCTGCACCGCTCCCTACACCCAGGGGTCGGGACTCGGGCCTCCTCGCAGGTCCCGTAGCCTCGGGCGTAGGGGAGCGTGCTGGCGCGGCCGCGCCGTTACCTGCACGGCTAACGGAGTATCTGGCCGGATAACGCGAGAGGAGTTCCAACCCGCGGAGGTGGCGGGGGTGCTGGTGCCTCCGCGTGGGGGAAATTTGGACAAACCCACTCTGTATCAGGACTCGGGAGCCGTACCGGTAGCTTTGGAAGTGTTTACGCGGTTTCTGTTGTGTTCGCTAATTTAAATTTATTTTTCATTTTTTAGCAGCCTTTGATGACGCAGTAGAAGAACGCGTGATCAACGAAGAGTACAAAATATGGAAAAAGAACACCCCTTTTCTTTACGATTTGGTGATGACCCATGCTCTGGAGTGGCCGAGCTTAACTGCACAGTGGCTTCCCGATGTAACCAGGTGATACGAATCTCTTGAACGTTGCTTTGGTGTGTCCTCAGTGTAGATTTGGCACATTGATTTCCCCAGGTTTTTTTTCTTTTTTTCTCCAGTCACCCTTTACAGAGCATATGATCAAAACCTCTTGGTGACATCTTTTTCTAGACCAAAAAGTGGGCAAAATGTCAAATTATTTTCCCTGATAAGAGAAAACATGCTGTTCTTTTTCTGATACTGGGTTGAATAACCATATAACTTGTCAGCTTTCAAGAAGTGTTACGATGTGTCCAGTTTTTTAATCTCACAGTCTTTGGTTGTAGCTGGTTAATACAAAGGTGAATACAACATGGTAGCTGCCTGCAAGGAGCACAGTCTAGTTGAAGGAGCTGGTGTAACTAGTAGTTGTAGTTGTGTGTTCTCAGAGCACTTTTTAGAAAGATACTTAGGATGCTTAGAACGAACACCTGAAGGTGGGATGTTTTGCATATGAGGAATTATGGTGAGAGATGAATTGCATATATTTCTTACTCGTGTACCTCTAATAGAGGAGATAAAATATTTAATTTGGCTTACGTTTATTGAGGGTCTAGGTGCCACTTATCAAGGCATACAGATTTAAATAAGATCCTTCCCTGCCTTAACTTCGTATGTATAACCTATAACATCAAAAAAATTATCATGGGAGTGGCAAAGATAAAATGATGAGGGGAAGGAAAAATTACCTCAATGGGGTATGAGGAAAGAAAGGCTCAAGTGTGCAAAACCAGTGTGCCAGTTGGAGTAAAGGGTTTTCTATTATAAAACTTTTAGTTTCGGAACAACATTTAAAAATTATATTTTATGTATACTAAAAAATAAATTCCTCCTATCTTAGGTCTTTAGAAGTCTATGCTTCACTCAACAAGTAATTAGAAAATTGATATAGATCTTAAAAAGTTGATACAGATTTTATTAATAAGAACAAGGCTGTTACCTTTGCAATAGCATTTTAAAAATGGGGAATTCTGTCCTAAGGTGGTTAAACAAAACCATAATAAATACCTAGAAATTTAGAGTTGGGAGCTTTGTCATTACCAGGAGTTCCCATATTCAACTGATCATCAGAATCAGCCATAAAAAAAGAATGAAATCTCGCTATCTGCAACAATATGGAGGGACTTAGAGGGTATTGTGCTGAGTGAAATAATTAGAGAAAAACAAGTACCATATGACTTCACTTATGTGGAATCAAAACAAGCAGAAAAGAAACAGACTCAGATACAGTTGCCAGATGGGAGGGTGGTTGGAGAGCTGGGTGAAAAAGGTGAAGGGATTAAGAAGTACAAATTGGTAATTACAGAATAGACAAGTGGATATAAAGTACAGTACAGGAAATATAGTAATATTGTAGTAACTATGGTGTCAGGGTATTAGACTTATCAGGGTGATCACTACATGTTATATGTCTGATCACTGTGTTGTGCATCTGAAACTAACAATGATAAATAAAAAATCCTATATAATAAAAGGCTAATATGCAAATCGACTGAAGGGGGAACTACCGGTTGCTATGACTTGCACTGACCACTAGGGGGTAGACACTCAATTCAGGAGCATCAGTGCACTCCCACAGGGGGAGTCCCACTCAGCCAGAAGCTGGGCTCATAGCTGGCGAGCGCAGCAGTGGTGGTGGGAGCCTCTCCCACTTCTGTGGCAGCGCTGAGGATGTCCATTCCCTGAGGGCTCCCGGACTGGGAGAGGGCACAGGCCAGGCTGAGGGGACCCCTTACCCCTCCCCCCCAAATTTCATGCACCAGGCCTCTAGTTGAAAAATAAAAAATTATTCAAATGTTAAAAAAAATTGAGTTCAGCAGAAGTGGAGTTCTGTCAGGTATTCTCAATGGTAGTTCAAAGCATTTAGGAACTTGTTGCAGAATACTTGATGAGAAATGGTTGGTGATTCCAGATTTACCAGTCACATGCCAAATTATAGTGAACCAGTGGGTCCCAAATATTGGTCACCCCATACCTACTAAATCATTCTGGAATCCCAAAGCCTCCCATACAGTGTAGTGATTAGCTAGGTTTGCAAAGCAATGAATTAGAATAAATTCTTCAAGGCTAAAATTTGTGCTGTCATCTTAGTTGTTTTCTACTCCAGCAGATAGATAAACCTTTCTGTAATATTTGATATTGATCCAAATACCCTACCCTTTTCCTTCCCTTTTTTGTATTCTACTCATATAACAATGTTCTGTTGTTTTTGTAATGATGAGGATTACTTATAAGCAAGCATCTAATGCCAAGTGCTTAGGTTTTTTGTGTATATGTTTTGATTTTGATGTTTATTCACATCCTTTAAAAAAATAATTGTAGCTCTATAAAATTCTTCCCTCACTTCCTCTGATTCTTTGTTTAACTTTCTAACCACAGGCATTCCCAATTTTCTATTGACAGTTCTCTTTTCTTTCCTATACTTTTTCTGTTTAATTTATAGATGTCCATCACCTCTTTGCAGAGGAATTCATATTGGTTATCTTAGACCTAACTTCTGGGCTTTTCTTGAAATTTTCAGCTGCCTAGAGTCTAAATTTAATCTGTTTCTTAGCCTTCTCTCCCACTGTACTTTCCCATACCTAGAGTCAGATTTGGACTTTTCCTAGTTCTGTTACTTAGTTGTGTGATGTAAGGCAAGCTGTTTAATCTTGTAGTATTATGGTATTTCAATGATAAAAGGTATATCCAATGCCTAACATGGTGTCTGGCACTTGGTAGACCTTCCCCCTTTGCTTAGCTCCTTTTTTTTTTTTTTTGACTACCTGCTTATCTTCCAGCTGTATTCCTTTGTACCTTTCATGTGGTGTATATTGACTTGTGTTTTAATCATTTGTGTACATGACTGCCTAATTGTCCCTGGTTTTTTTGAGGACAAGAATCATGTCTTAATCATTATGCGTCCATAGTTTTTGGAGCAGTGTGTCCAAGCAGTTAGGAAATATTTGAGCAATTAATTTACTAATGTTATTTCCTTTCCTTTTTGATGAAGTTAACTTAAAGAAGTAACCTAAAATGTTAGTGTACCCAACAAATTTTTCTTTATATCCAACCAGTTGTAATGGATGAGTAATTAATTCCCATTTTATTTTGTTAGACTTTTCCCCCAAAGCAATTGTAAATTTTTTAAAAATATATTTTATTGATTTTTTTTACAGAGAGGAAGGGAGGGGAATAGAGTTAGAAACATCGATGAGAGAGAAACATCGATCAGCTGCCTCCTGCACACTCCCCACTGGGGATGTGCCCGCAAGCAAGGTACATGCCCTTGACCGGAATCGAACCCGGGACCCTTCAGTCTGCAGGCCGACGCTGTATCCACTGAGCCAAACCGGTGCTGGCAGCAATTGTAAATTTTCTTTTTTAATTGTAAATTTTTGATCAAGTTAAATACAGCTGGTCCTTGAATAACGTTTTGTTCATTCTAAAGTTGAGATGCCATAGGAACTTAACTTTTGTTTATATCCTTTAGCATGTGGTAAAATTGGCTTCATTGTATGTAATTTTGCTTAAAGTCACAGAACCTATCCATGTTAACTGAGGATTTATTATACTTAAAAATTAAGTGCTATGTAGTCTTTCTTATACGTGGCTCTGTGGAAGTTACATTAAAAGTAGAAAATGACCCTGGCTGGTGTAGATCAGCCAGGTTGAGCATCATCCCATACACATGCCTGGGTTGCGGGTTCGATTCCCAGTAGGAGGCATGCAGGAGACAGGCAATCAATGTTTCTCTCCTCCCTTTCTCTCTCTCTCTAAAATCAATAAAAACAATCTTTTAAAGTAGCAAATGATTTTCTCTTCCCAAGACCTTGTTGTAATAGTGCTCTTGCATAGATGTATTTGTTACTAATTTGAATGGTGACCATATATTGCTATTACAGACCAGAAGGGAAAGATTTCAGCATTCATCGACTTGTCCTGGGGACACACACATCGGATGAACAAAACCACCTTGTGATAGCCAGTGTGCAACTCCCTAATGATGATGCTCAGTTTGATGCTTCACACTACGACAGTGAGAAAGGAGGTAGGAATCTTAAAAGTGAAAGAAGGAGTCTATGAGATATATTTTTCATTATCTTTGAATTGTCATAAAAAGAATGTTCAATATGATAAAGAAGCCACAAGATAGAAATGATGTTAAGCTTCGGAAAGCCTGAGTTTGCAGTAGAAATATTAGCTGTCAGAATACATACCTAACACAAAGTTGGTTCTGTGCCTTTTCTATAAACCTTCCTCTACTAAATTTGGTGCTGGGGGTATTTCTAGAATTGAAAGAAGCAAAAATCCACCTTATTTTATTGATGTTCATGTACACATTCTCAATGTGGGACATGCTGCCCCAGCAGGGTGAAAATTGTTTTTTGGGGAAAGGTGTGTTTGAAAACAACCTTATTCTTTGAATGTATAAAGCACAGATATACATAGCATATGTAAATAGATAATACAGGATATCTGGTATTAAAATTTCATCATGGTGTCAAGAAAATGTCTTATAAGGTTTCTTAGAGGGGGCAATAATGGAAAAAAAGATTGGGGAAACACTGGCTTAAATTACCCTTTCTAGGTTTGAAGTGGTAAAAATGACAACTATGGCCCTCACTACATACATAAAAATTAAGTGAGCTATTTAATTATATCCTAATTTTAGGAGATAACTTAAGGGTTTAACTTTTCATGAAATACTTTTTCTCTTAGAAGAGGTACAGTGAGTGAGTTTCCTTTATTGTTGTCCTTGAACTCAAATTAATACTGAGAAGTAGAAGATAGCCTCTAAGATTTGTGCTCTAATAAATGGATGTTTCATGTTTATTATCTTAGATTTCTTCTGATTAGCAGAATCCATTCTTTTATCTAAGTTATTTTGGGCTTCAGTTATTTTTCGGTATTGTAATGTGCAGTTGATCTTTTGAGCATTCCATATTTAGCTTAGGATGATGCAGAATGCAAAATAACTTCTTGGGATAAAGGTCAGCAAATATTTTGTGTCACTGACCCAAGTGTGTAGCTATAAGATATGATTACTGGAAAGTTATTTTCTGGGTAGACAGTGATGGGGGGAGGGGGGGCTGAACTTAGACTCGGGCTGGAGACCTGGATATGCCACTCATTAATTATGGTTTTAGGTAACTTTTAGCCTTTTATTAGATGAAGATAAATTTTCTTTAGGATTTTTGGTTACTATTTAGGGACAAAAATACTCTGGTAATGTAATAAGTTATTTTTAAATATCAAAGCAAATATAAAACGATATGGGAACCCCCATAAACATCCCTTTAGATAACTGTTAAATTTGATACATAGTTTTCAGAATGATTTATCCCATTTATTGAATTACTCATTCAAAAGATGTGTTAAGTACTTATTGTAGGCCAGACATGTTTCTTGGTACTGGGGATACAGCATAGAATATTCTTTTCTGGTATGATGTATCTTGGGACAGATCTCTGTGTAAGTGTATAGAAACCTACCTCTTTTTTTTTTATTTTTTATCCTCACGTGAGGATATTTTTTCATTGGTTTTTCAGAGAGAGTGGAAGGGAGGATGAGATAGAAACATCGATGTGAGAGAGAGACATCGACTGGTTGCCTCCAACACGTGACCCTGACTGGGGTCAGGATCGAACCTACAACCTAGGTTTGTTCCCTTTATTGGTAATTGAATTGAGACCCTTTGGTCTGTGAGCCTGCATTCTAACCATTGAGCAGTACTGGTCAGGGCAGAAACCTAACTCTTTTTGATGGCTGTATACTATACCATAATTAACCGTCCTTATTTATGGACATATAAGTGGTTTCCAATCTTTTGGCTTCAAAAACAATTCTTGTGCATGCAACTTAGGTAGTTTTGCTGTAGAATAATCTTGAGTGTAATGTTTATCATAGAGCAAGAACATTCTCAAGTATAATTGATACTGCTAAATTGCTCACCAATAGCAGAAGTATTTGTTTCTCCATGTCCTCGCCAACATTGAAGTTAATACTACTGACTTACTTCATTTTGCTTTTTAAGTTATTCATGAAATTGAACTTGTTTTAATTTTTTTTTTTTAAATATATTTTATTGATTTTTTTACAGAGAGGAAGGGAGAGATATAGAGAGTTAGAAACATCGATGAGAGAGAAACATCAGCTGCCTCCTGCACATCTCCCACTGGGGATGTGCCCGCAACCCAAGTACATGCCCCTGACCGGAATCGAACCCGGGACCCTTCAGTCCGCAGGCCGACGCTCTATCCTCTGAGCCAAACCGGTTTCGGCTGCACTTGTTTAAAAATATTTGTCTACCTTAATCTGCCTATTTATG